AGATGAATGCAAATTTGAATGCAACCCTGGTTATGAACTTAACACAAAATCAGCATCTAAAGCATATTGCAGTGCTGACGGAACTTGGGTGTTCGACCAAGATGGTTATGAACCAAGATGCGAAGGTTTGTTATAATCTAAATTAATAAATTATTTATAAAAATCATTGTTCATGTAAAAAACATTTATTTTAATCTAATTTTTTGATAGTTTTGAGTAATGCAAAGCCTAATGACGTAGTTTTTTTTTTATAAAGAGAATCTAGCTAAGTTGCATCCTTTTACTGTAGATGTTTATGCTCATTCCCTGCTGAATCATACCATTTTCATTTTTAAAAGTCTTTCGCCAACTTCTTTTTTTTTGGTTCTTCTCTTTAATTTCTACTTAATTTCTAATTAAGTAGAAATTAAAGAAAACAAGAAAGCGGTTGACGAACAACTTTGACGATCAAAGAACAAGAAAGGGGTTGAAGAACGACTTTTAAAAATGAAAATGGTATGATTCAGCAGAGGATGAACATGAAGACCTATACTAAAAGAATGCAATTTAGCTGGATTAAAACAAAAGATTTTTGAGTGATGGAACAAGTGACAATAGAAGCAACCACGGTTGCTTGAGCAGCAACAAGTATTAGTATTTGTAGATATAAATGTATTTGTAGAGATAGAGATAGAACTTTATGGTGATGGGACAGATGCTCATGTTTAGCAGGTAGAGTAAGACAACAACATTTACAGTGTATTTATGGACCTTGTCTAAAGAAGGAAAGCTTCTTTAGGATAATCAGCTCAATATAACAGAACCATTTTATGCAAAGACAAATAAGAGATATCATCTTTTGTTGACTTTGCAATAAAGTGTACATATGGATGGATATGCGCCAAACCAGTCTATACAACAAAATTGAAAAAATGAGCTTATATTAAAAAAATTTTAAATGCACTGGAAACAAGTGCACTGGACAGCAGTTACTGTTTGTTTGTTGTAGTGGTTTTTGTTGAAAAATTTTAAGTTTTGGGTCCAATTATCTCATTTCAACATATGCGTTGTATAGACTATGGTTTGGCACAAAGTATATGATTTCATTGAGAGAACAGTATTGGTAATATTAAACTAAGAAAATGGAGAATAATGGACTCAGTAAGATCCATTTATTTATCATTTATTTGCTTCCATTTATTTTCATTTTGTTCACAATGTTGCAATAGTTATTAGTACTGAACAATTTCACGACATTGAGTGTAGATTAAAATTCAAATTTGGATTGAATCTGCCTTTTTAATAGCTACCACTGAATTGAGAAAGCCTCACTACAAGTCTTTGATGCGAGCCCAAAAAAATATGTACGTGAAATAATCAAACATGTTTCAAGATATATATAATGGGAGGCTTTAGCAAGCATGTCATTTGATCTCCTTAGTTTTATTGCTAAGTCTTTAAGATTAGAATCAATTTTGATACTGTGATATTTAAATGAGTTTGATTTATTGCCCACTTAAATCTAAAGATTATATCTTTATAGTATATTATACTATATGTTGGGTCTGGAGCTGGAGCCGTATCTATCTGGAGCTTGTGTTCTTACAAGGAGCTTAGTTAAAGCTAAAATATTCCAGACAGAGCCTCTGGAGCCAAGCTAGCTCCCTACAGATTAGAGTTTTAGGTGTGGTGGAGATGAGTTTAAAAAAAAGCTTCATAAAAAAAAAAGGAGAAATGTGACCAAAATTAATTTTTATGTATATATTATTATACTATATGTATATAGTAATATACTTTAAATTGAGTAATTAATTTATTGTATAGTTATTTTTTCAAATTAGAAGGCATCAATAAAGTACTTATGCAGTAAAAAATTGCTTTCAATAACCCCCTCCTCCCCCTTCTTATGTACACATTATTTATTACAAAATCAAACCCCCTTCCCCAAGACATAAAAGTTAATTCAATATTTCTGTAACATACCATAATATTGATTTTTTAGATAGAGAACAAGAGATACTCATTTTCTTTAACACAAAACTTACCCTCCTTTCCTCATCCTTGTATGTATTTGTAAATTTTGAGTAACTCTCTATCCCCCCCCCCCCCCCCCATATTCCATCCATACCTGCATACATACTTTATGGAAGAGCCATTATAGATTATAACTAAACTATGCTATTATTTATATTTTAAACAAGTTTAGGTGTTCGTTGCAATAGCTTGTTAGCAGTCGCTAATGGTGATATTGTTCCTTCTACATGCCTAATAAATGGTGCAAGCTTTAATGAATCTTGCACTTTGTATTGTAAAGGTGGCTATGATCTTATTGGGCCTAATAAAGCTGTTTGTCAAGAAGATAGGATGTTTTCACATTTATTACATGAATCAAAATGTGTTGAACGTGCGTTACTAATATTTATTTACTTGTATATTACTTGATATGGTTATAGCATACAATAAAGTTTATAATGATATAATTCATAGGAAAAAAACTTGTGTGCCCGCATGATGTAAATTTAGTTCTTCCCCTTGGTAAAAGTGAAATGGCTATTCCCTTAGTTATTTTTGAAGATCTAATGAAGTATGATGGCGTAGTCTCAAATCCTCCAGGTGTTTTGAATGGAACATATATGTTTAAATCTAGAAGATTATCATACTTGATCTCTTTGGTTGATAAGCACAAAGAGTCGTGTAATTTTTATGTCACTGTTGAAGGTATATTTTTTTATTATTTCAAAATGTTTGAACCTTGTGAAAAATAGCTATGATTAAATGCTTTGCTTATACAGATCGTGAACCACCAACTGTCACTAATTGCCCAGTTGACAAAGTCTTTGTTTCTATAATTGGAGAGCAGGGTATAGTCAATTGGCCAGAACCTGTGTTTGTAGATAATGTTGGCGTTAAAAAAGTTATCAATAATTTAAAAAATAATGCATATCTTGCACAGCAGGTTTACTTTGTGTTTTACGAAGCCGTTGATGATAATGGCAACGAAGCATCTTGCAGATTTTTTGTCCATGTTCGAGGTTAACCTTATTTAGCTTTTAACATTGCTTATATTTGCATTCATTATTTGACTTTTAAAATTTTTTAAATCTTATTGTTTATTAAAAAATTTCTAATAAATAATAAATATTTTGTTTAATTTATTATTTTTTTGCAGCTAAATACTGCTCCAAAAATTCAATTCCTGGGGGTGAAGGAGCAATTCAAAATTGGTTTTCTTCCAGTTTGTCACAAGCAACAGTACTTCTGCAGTGTCCTGTTGGCTTTATTTTTAGTGATATTGTTGCAACAACACCGATTTTCTTTTGTAACCAAGGAGAATGGATGAATCGTCAAGTGCCTGATTGCGTCAAAAAGACTAATCCTACCAATGGAAGTTGTACTTTTGGAGAAATTCAACTTATAAATCCAACTAACAAGCAGATTATGTGTGGTAAGAAGCGGTTTTATTTGTTTATGTTTTCGATTGTTTTAGGGTGGGGATGGTATTTATTTTGTTATTCATTTTATGACTTGTAGGGCTGTGTCCAAAAGGAACAGAAGGTGGGAAGGTTCCAGGGACGTGTCAAAAGTGCTTGATCGGTTACTATCAAGATATAGAAGGTTCTCTTGCATGTAAAAAATGTCCGGACGGTCATTTAACCAGAACTGATGGTCAGAAATCTATAAGTAATTGTGAAGGTTGGTTTCAGTTTGTTGCTGTTAATAATTTAATTCAAGTTTTAAAAAAAGTTTGAACTCCATTGTCAAAATTAAAAGATATATGTATTATCTCATAATTTAGCTCATTTTTTTAAATTACATTTCATAGAAAACTTTAATCACGTCTTTTTTATCTTAAAAACGTAAATTTTTTCATTTTTAAAAAATGATTTAATGTTTGCATTTAAAAAAACTTTGTTTATTTAAGTGCAATGTACTGCTGGACAATATTCTCTAACTGGCTTTAATGGCACCGATGAATGTAAACGTTGCCCAAGTGGATCTTATCAAGAACTTTCCGGTCAAATTGCATGCAAGATATGTCATCAAAGTGGGACATCTGAGAACGGTTCAGTTACGGAAGATCAGTGTAGATGTAATGCATTTCTTAAAAGCTTTCGCGTTTGTCTACTGCTCTTCTTTGTTTTTATTTGGTTTTTCATTTTTTCAAAACTTGAATGAAAATTGTTTTAGTGCCGGCTCGTGTATCGAAAATTGTTCCTGACAGCGAGTTCATTTTAGTATCAGTTGGTGATAACATTACTGTCGACTGTTACGCTACCGGCAGTCCTGCTCCATATTTAAAGTTTGTGAAAGAAAAATCTTTTCAAGGTTTTTTTTTGTGATTTGATACTTTTTTTTTACCTAAGCAAAATTAAAATAATTAAAATAATTTTTTATATATATTTTTTTTTTTTTTTTTTTCAAATTACTATTGAAAATAATTTACTTATGCAAGGCGGACCTTAATTTACTTATGCAAGGTGGCCTTTAATTTAAAAGAGAAAAAGTTCTTATAAAGTTTTTTTTAATAGATACAGACATGACTAAAAGTTTTATGAAACTGGAATCACTTGCTACCGGAAACCGATATATCACTGGGCTAAGAGTTACAATAAGTAATGCAAAGGAAACTGATAGTGGAACATATGTATGTTTAGCTGATAACAGGTTAACAAACACAGGAGCAATTGATAAAAGAAATATTTTTGTTGAAGTGTTAAATAATTGATGTAGTTTTGAATAATTTTAATAATCAATTCAGTTACCCGATCAAACTTAAATATTCTTTTTTCTTTTTTGTCTCTGAAATTTTTTATTTTGTTTTATGCATTTGTGTGTTTGCATGGTTGATTGGATTCATGCACAATTTTTCAAAGTCTTGAAGCTCTTAAAAATCGTGCGTAAGTTATGGGCGCTGCATTATACGCGTTTCAAAGAAAAAAAAATCTTACAACTGAAAGCTCACTCAAAACCATTCTTCCGCGAGTGTTAAATGTACATGATCTTACTTTTCTCGGAATCGGTAGTACTTTAGGAGCAGGAGTTTATGTGGTAGTTGCAGATATAGCAAAACACACAGCTGGTCCTGGAGTAATATTATCGTTTTTAATAGCGGCATTTGCAGCCTTACTATGTGGTCTATGTTATGCCGAGTTTGCAGCTCGAGTTCCGAAAGCGGGTTCCGCTTACACTTATACATACGTGACAGTTGGAGAACTACCCGCATTTATGGTAGGTTGGAATCTGTTACTTGAATATCTTATAGGTGCAGCTGCTATATCTCGCGCTTGGACAGCTTACGTTGATTCTTTAACAAACAGTGCTATAAGTCGGGGATTGATGACTGGAATAGCAACATGGAAAACGCCTGGTATCAGCAAGTATCCTGATTTTTTATCATTAACCATGTGTTTACTTGCTTCAGGATTTCTAGCTGCCGGAGTCCGAATATCGAGTTGGATAAGTAATATCACAACTTTTCTCAATTTAGTTGTGATCATTTTTTTAATTGTAGTTGGTTTAGGATACGCAAGGCCGCAAAACTGGCAGCCCTTTTTACCTTTTGGATTACAAGGTATGTTATCTGGCTCGGCAACTGCATTCTTTGCTTTTGTTGGCTTCGATGTAATTGTTTCATCTGCAGAAGAAGTAAAAGAACCAGGAAAATCGATTCCAAGATCGATTATGTCGTCGATTTTTGTTTGCTTAATTAGTTACGGTGGATTGTCAATGGCAGTTACCTTGATGGTCCCTTATTATACTCTCGAGGAAGATGCAGCATTGGCACAGGCTCTCCATAAAAGAGGAGCAATATGGGCCAAATACGTTATCTCAGTTGGTGCTGTTGCAGGGTTAACAGCCAGTTTATTAGGTTGCATGTTTCCTGTACCCAGACTTTTGTTTTCAATGGCAAGCGATGGACTAATATTTTCACCGTTTATGCAAATTAATTCCATTACTAAAACACCTATATTTGGTTGTGTTTTTAGTGGAATCTTATCTGGCTGGTTAGCATTGTACTTTGATCTTTCAACATTAGTTGAAATTATGTCAATCGGAACATTGCAAGCCTATACTATGGTTGCAACTTGCGTACTGCTGTTAAGATATCAAATCAATCCGATAGGTTTGGTGATTACCGCAAATGGCTTAGAGCCTTTATTAAGTGAATCAATAGTGAGCGAAAATGAAAATGTTAGATTCTTTCCAACGAAAAGAACTGCAATGCTTGCTAATATTTCCATTTTTGTGATTGTTTTAGTTTCATTTTGTTTATGCGGACTTTGCGTAAACTACAGTGAATATTTATGGCATTTGCACTTTTGGTTTGTAGTAATGTTTTTTTTTTTAATAGCCGCGTTTACTGTTGCCATGACAATAATATTTCTCCAACCTCAAAATAGATTTGATTTGCCTTTTTCTGTTCCCATGGTACCATTATTACCGGTAATGTCCATTTTTATAAACATTACATTAATGATGCAACTGAGATTAATAACATGGATTAGATTTTCAGTGTGGATAACTATAGGTAAGTCAAAAGTTTTAAAATTATAACTTATAATTACGTAGCATATTTACAATATACTTTAAATACATTTAATTATATTTATATTTAAACTTAAAAGAAAGTATTGAGAAATGGAAATTGGCAAAACGGGTGGTTTATTGCAAGAACTTTGTGTGTTGCTTTCATACTAGTTCATTTTAATTTATCAATAACTGCGAAATATATATATTTTTAAACATTTATTACAAATTTTAATTTCTAGGTTTTTGTTTATTTATGCTATCAATTTAAATACTTTTAAATATTAAAACATTTCAAATAATAATTTTACAATTAATCAAATAGATCATTATATTCATTTCATTATTTATGAGCATCAGTAGTTCATTTCATTATTTATGATCAATTAGTTTATTTTAAATAACGGTTAAAGACAGTTCAAAATTTTGAGAAATATGACTAAAAAAAAAGTTAGTTTATACCCTCAACCCATTTCCTCCCCTCCTCCTCCCCTCTTCCGTCCAGCATACGGGTATTTGTAATTTGTTATAATATAAAACAAAACATTAAGCAGAATATTAGAAATTTAAATTTAAAAACTTTATTTACCGTTGATAACATAAAATTGTTTTAAAGAATTGTAACAAAAAATCTCAAATTAAAAAAAAAACTAATTCAAATCCACATATGAAACTTTTTAAACACTAACACAAGTATTGTTACTAAATAATCAAATATTTCAAAAAAGGCTAAGAAATAAAAAGATAAGCATGTACAATATTAAAAAAACAAAACAAGCAGTTTATAAAATATGAAAAAAAAAAATACAATAAGACTTTGAAGAAGGGCTAACTTTCTATAAAGATTGCCAAGGTGAAAAGTTATTGAAATTATTAATAAAAGTTTTTTAATAATTTCAATAAAGATTCATAATCATAAGTGGTTTATAAAAACTCAAATAGCGTATACGCTTTCAAAAATGTTTTTATACATTTTTAAAAATGTATACGCTATTATAAGTTTTCTTAAATGTTTAAAGAATTTATTTATTTTTTAATGCAATTTAAATTATTTATTTTCAAATACAATTTAAAACTCTAATACCACAAATACATTACATTAGTCTTTAAAATGATATGACTTAAAATAAAAAGAAGATTTTTCGACAAAGAATTCATTTGAATTCAGTTTAAAATGTGAGAAAAGCATTGAGACGTAATTACATTTGAGAATCATAAGGGGGTTTTCATAAAGTAAGTGCGGTATTGTGATTTATACTACTCCAGATAATTGCCTAGCTACTCCAGATAATTGCCTCATACCATCGCACGCACATTTAACCAGTATTCTTCTTTCTGAACACTTTCTGGTCTTTCTACGGGTTGAGATTATTGTGGAAAAAGATTATATTTTAATGAAAGGCAAATATATTAGAGTTAGAAAGATGGCATAGAGAAAGACAGATTGGTCATTTAAGAAATACAGGAACTAGAAAACGCTCAGACCTAATAAGGATTAATGCTTTTAGTGTATGTTTTTTTTTCGAACACGAAAACAATAACAAAGAAGATACTAAAGTACGTATTTATTATCTTTTTATATATTGAAGTTTACTCTCCTCAGGCATTTGCCGTGCAGAGTTTAAATAAAGAATGCAGTAGTTATATTTACAAGGTGGTCTACTGTTTCACTACTAGGTCAAAAAAAGACATAATCTCTAGAGACTAGAAATCTCTAGAGACGAGATAATCTCTAGAGACGAGAAAAAAAAAAAAAAACGAAGAAAAAAACGAAAAAGTAAAAAAAGAATTCGAAAAAAATAATCTGGTCGTTTCAGTTTAAAAAAAGATTGTTTTTCATTTTTATATTAATTTTATTTTCGTTGCTTCAGATTTGTGCAAGTTCTAATCGAAAAAAATCCTTTTTATTTGTTAGCTTCGAAATTTCGAATTCTTGAAATAAAATCTTTTTGATTTTGTTTTCGAATTCTTCTAAGAGAGTCACTCTCGCAAACATGGACTTTTCGTGGAGTGACCTCATTCTATTACAATATAGTTTATATAAAAGCTCATTCAATATTATTTTACCAATATAAAAACTATTTACAGAAGGTGATAAAGCAAAAAGAAAAGATTTAAAGATATTTTTAAGGGGTGGATGATTTGGGTAGATTTTTCAGATAAGACCAAATGTGTATTTTATTAGTGGCTGTACTTTTTTGCATTTATACATCATGTGGGGTAGATCCTCTTTTTTCTTCTTACATTGGGGGCATTTATTATCTTTTTATGTCGTAAAGTGCGTACGCGTTTTTTAACAAAAATGAGAAACTGCAGGCAAATATTTTTGAAAATAGTTTTGTATTTTGGGGACTAAATTAATTGTGGTTTCTAATTCTGTAAAAAAGTGTTACATGAAAATCCATAATATAAATAAATCTTGATATAGCCACTATATAAATCTTTCTTCAACAAAAATTAAAATTATATTATTTTCTCAAGACATATGAAAACGATAACAAATGAAAAATTTAATTTATTAAAGTATTTTTTCAAGAAAAAGTTTTTAATACGATAAAATAATGATTCAAAGCTGTATAGAACTATATTAAAATAGTTATAGTAAAAAGTATAGTGTAAAATAATAGTATAATAAATAAAGTATATAATCAAGTAGGTAGTTATATGTATAATATAGCCGACGTTTTATTCAAACACCGCAAACATGCGCGGATAAAGATTACGCGCAACATTGAGTTTAAAAACCGTAAATTTTTGAGTGTGAAACATATAAACAAAAATATACGTTTTAAAATACAATCAGTGTTAAAACTGTATTGTTAGATAAGAAATAGAAATTAATCAAAATATGTTAAACCATACAATTCCAATATATATATATATATATATATATATATATATATATATATATATATATATATATATATATATATATATATATATATATATATAATTCCAGATAAAGATTGCGATTTTAAATGCGAATTGATAGAAATATATCATTTTATTCCAAGTACCACTAATCTACAATTATGTTTAATCTATAATGAATGTAAATAATAGGAAGTCAAATCATTGAACTTCATTTTTTAACAAAGTTACTTTACTTTTGTCAAAAGATATTTAGGTCGGTAAAAATAAAATATAAAAGGTCAATAGAGCTCAATTTGAACGTCAGCTAACAGATTTAAAATCAAAACATTTTCGATCTTCAAAATTTACAACTTTGCAAACAGAACTAGAAAATCGGAAATAAAAAAAGAAAACTTTAATCATAAGTGGAAAGAACTTTTAAATTCTCAAAGACCAAATTATTTTTGAAACATGAATTGTAACATAATATGATTTCCTGAATTTTCCTGAGAGTGTCATCTTAAGTTAGCAGCATCTAATTTTTAACTTTTTTTGGATCTACATGTTCCATATTCTTGTGAGCAGATCTTTAGCAACATGAAAATTAAAAAAAAACTAAAGATTTACTGTTAACCCACAATGCATTTCTTCAGGAAGTTTTTATTGTAGTAGTTTCTAGCAAAAAATCTTGGTTTAGTAAATTCCAAATTTTTTGGCATTTTTAGAATTTTTATCATGCTTTTATAGTTAAGTATTTGATTACAGTTGTTGTTGGCTTTTTATTATCGATTATATCTGTTCTACGGGCATTTTTTTTATTACATATTTTAAAGTGAGATTATATTCAATGAGGTTCATTATTTTTATTTCAAAAAAAAGTTTTGAAAATATTTTAGTAACTCGTATAACTCATATAACTTTGCTTGATGTACTATGATCTCCACCATAGTGCATTTTCTTTCTTCATAGCGACCATTTTCTCCTATAACATTAAATAATATTTTTCTTTAAAATAAGCACTTGATCACAAACATACAAAATAGGTGTTGTAATAGAAAAAAAAATTTCTAAAACTATTCCTAGTTGATCATTTTAGTACATCTGAAATCTTTATGTTTATAAAACATGCTCTGAAAACTCCAGTCAAAAAGTATTCTAAATTTGAGATCAGGTTTTGCAGATGGAAAAAAAGAATAAAATTAAAAGGTTATGTAAACAATGTACAAAATTTTCCTAGAAACATAAATTATTAGCAAACTGATTAATAAAAAAAGTTCATGTAAGGTAATAATAATAAGTATTTTATACAAAATATTTAAATGTATATTATTTTATAATTTTTTTTTATAAATTGAATATTATTCCTATAATTAAACGTTCAGAAAACGTATTTTAGACGTGTATTAAAAACGTTTATTTTAGATGCTTTTTCCGTCTAAAGAAAATAGAGATAGGACGGTTTTATTAAACGTTCAAAAAAAATGTTTATTAAAGGAGTTTTTCCGCCCAAATATAACGGTTTGACAGAATCAAAACATTTATTTACATTCCATTATTTCCTATTTACTTAATTACAACTCGATATATTGAATTATAAAAAGATAAATAAGAAATAATAATTTAAAAATAAATGGTTTGAAAATATCAAACCGTTCCATCCATTCTGATGGAATATAGTTTTTAAGTAAAATATATATCACACTTAAATTTTGTTATTAAAATCGATGTTTTAATTGCGAAAATTATTAAATTTTACTGAAATGACATGTTTATATGGGTAGAGCGATTTGGAAAATTTTTTTAATTAGGTTTGTCTGTGTTTCAAATCGTTATCTTTTAGTAAAAAAAATAATCTTTTTTTTTTATTTTAAAGAGTTGTTGAGGTTCCTCATCAAGATTTTTGTTGAATCCTAAAAGTAGTTTTAAAAATATTAATTTCATTTTATGAAAAATTTTAGTAGAAAAAAATTGCAAAAATGTACCTAAAATTATTGCTTTTTTGTAACTTATTTAAAAAACAGGGGTTTCTCAGCTAGCACACATACGTTGATAAAACGTTAGAACAATGCTGCGCGTTGACCCAACATCAATCGCCAACGTTATTTTTATATCATTTTGGTTAAAATACAACGCAATACCTACTTAGAA